GCAATGAAGATTTTGCAGATGGTCATAGTAGAGAAACCACCATTAAAGCTACTGCTCTGGTGAGTACTGTCTCTTGATGCTATATATACATTGTTTTCTTGATATGTTGCTCGGACTTGTCAAAAATCATGTCGGATCCTTCAAAAGAAATACATTTTTAAGGATCTGACACGGGTGTGGCAACATTATTGGAGAGTTCGAGCGACATAGACAACAAAATACCTAGTGTAGTTCCACAAGTGGGGTCTGGGGAGGGGGGTTTTACCCTGTATGCACCCAAAGGGTAGTGGTTGCGGGTTTCCCTTGTCATAAAAAAAAATGAAAAAGGATATGAGCAGATCTTATCCCTACCTTTTGAGGTAGAGAGATTGTTTTCGATAGATTCATGGTTCGGAAGATCATTGCTTTTCTTGAAATTGACTTAAAGTTTATGAATTTATTTTCTATGTATTGATAGTGAATATGCACACTATAAAAGTTATGAATGTTTATGAGATGCTTGTGTGTATATCACAGTATATGTTCATGATCATGGACTATGTTGCTCGGACTCTTCAAAAAATGTCCTTCGGTGTGTGTCGGATAACTTTGGAGGATCCGATATGAGTGAGGCGTCATTGTTGAAGAGTATGAGCATCATCATAAATGGGTAGTTGTTCAGTGGGTTTGCTCGATGCACAGTTAAGTCATTGGGTGTCAGTCACATGCACCTATCATCAGCTTAGATACAACGACCGTCCACTCTTTATGTAAAGTCTGATATGGAGAGACTTTGTGTTCTGAATTGAATTGTGCAACCATTTAGCATGATCCCAACATAATGGATATATAATGGTGTAACTAGGAGCTGTCTATTAGGAGTACTTTGTTTAAGAAGATAGTTCTTTTGTTTGTCTGACTAGTCTTGTTTTTCTTAAATGGTTCTTTCTTCCACAGAGTATGGTGTTGGATGCTTCGGACACGACTGCTATTCACTTAAATTGGGTAATGGCTACATTGTTAAACCATAGGGATGTCATGAAGAAAGTCCAAGAAGAGCTAGACACAAAAGTTGGCAGAAACAGATGGGTAGAAGAGAGTGACATCAAGAATTTGGTATACTTCCAAGCTGTCGTTAAAGAAACACTGCGATTATATCCGCCAGCACCTTTGTTAGTACCTCATGAATCAATAGAGGACTGCATTGTACAAGGATACCACATTCCGAAAGGTACAAGATTGTGGGTCAATACTATGAAACTGCAGCGAGATCCTAAAATTTGGTCGAATCCTAATACATTTGATCCAGAGAGATTCTTGACTAGTCAAGCAGGATGTGATGTTCGTGGTCAACAATATGAGTTCATCCCGTTTGGCTCTAGAAGACGATCTTGTCCAGGGATCACTTATGCAATTCAAGTGACACACCTTGCAATAGCTCATTTGCTCCAAGGTTTTGATTTTAGTACACCATCGAACGAGCCGTTGGATATGAAAGAAGGGCTAGGCATGACAATGCGCAAAGTAAATCCTATAGAAGTGATGATTACTCCTCGCTTTCCTTCTGTGCTCTATAAGTTCTAAGATGTAAAATGATCCACTTTTTTCTTTTTGTTATGTATGTACTTTGTGGATGTATATTTTATACATGAGGAAATAATTTGAGTAACAAATCTCTTATTCCAATTAGCAAGCAAAAAGTGGTAGTAAAATATCACTTGTCAAGTCTTATTGAGAAGAGGTAATAAGATAGGACTTGGACAAGTATTCAACTTATCGCGGATAAAAATTGGACATGTCAAAAGGAGATGCACATGAGAGATTTACGATGAAGACACAAGGTAGATTGAAAAAGTGTTGAGGAGAGATAAAGTAGACGGAACAACTATTTGGAGAGAGGTGATCAAATAGAATTTGACAAGTCTTCAACTTGTCGAAGACAAAAATTGAACATGTCAAAATGAGATTGAAGAGGTATGAGAGATTTACAATGTAGAGGTAAGGTAGACTCAAAAAGTATTGAGAATGAGATACAACAAATCAAAATACTATTAGGAAGAGGTGGGACGTGGGGCTTATTGTTGGTTCCCTTCAGTTAGAGTGTAAAGACTGAAACTATTAAGAGAGAAATGTGATTTTTTTTTCTTTTGTTTGTGAGGATTATTGTTCAAGTGATATACGAGATTTAGAATTTTATTTATTTTTGACGTGTGAGATTTATTTATCATCTTTTGTATGCCCAAAAAATTTATTTATATGATTTTAAATATTGGATGCGTGAATAGTCTACTCGGGACCTCAACAATAGGGGCTTGATTGTGATAACACGTTAAATGAATGTTGAGTCTAACTCAACTTTAAAATAGCTCAAGAGCAAAGAATTGCTATCCATCTCCGATGTTGTTGGGTTCTTCAATTCTTCATTCATCTCTCCATCCACGTCTAATTCATCTAGACACATTCGATATTGGATGATTCACTGTCAAGATGTCTTGACGGTGAAATGGTAGACAAGAAAAACTCAAAATCTCGTGCTAAAGAGTGTGGTGGTTCAAGTCCTCTTCACCAGTGTTCCATCCAATCCTTCCAGTCTTTGTCCAACAATAAAAGCATGCACCTTGTCTTGAATTTGAACCCAACTACATCCAGGGTTTTTCTTCACTCCCCTCAGCTTCATCAACTCTCTTATACTATCAGCTTCACCCCACCGCCCTGCTTCAGCGTACATGTTTGAGAGAAGAGCATAGTATCCAGGATGATGCGGCTGCAGCTTAAATAAGTGCTCAGCTGCCCAAGAACCCAAGTCTACATTTCCATTGAGACGGCATGCTCCAAGGAGCGCAGCCCAAACATTGGAATCTGGTTCAAATGGTAGACGAGTGATAAGATTAATGGTCTCATCCATAAGCCCAGAACGACCAAGAAGATCAACCATGCAAGCGTAGTGCATCTGTGATGGTTCAATGTTACGAGCAAGCATGTCGTTGAAGTATTTCTTTCCTTTATCAACTAATCCCCCATGACTACATGCTGATAGAACTGCAATATAAGAGATGGAATCGTGTTCAACACCATCCTCTCGCGTGGCTTCAAACATATCAATTGCAGTATGTATATCACCAAGCATCCCATACCCTAAAATCATAGTATTCCATGATGCTACATCCCTGTTCTCAATCCTATCAAAAACATTTTGAGAAAGATCAATCCGTCCACATTTGGTATACAAATCCAAGAAAGAATTTGAGACAAACAGATGTTCATGAAACATTCTTCGCACTGCAAATGCATGGATTTCCTTTCCTTGTTTAATCGCAGAAATAGTTGCACAAGCTGAGAGAACTCCAACAAAGGAAACAGTATCGTGCTTCATCCCAGTTGGCACCATTTCAGAGAACAGTACAAGAGACTTTGAGCAATGATTTGTCTGTGAATAACCAACAATGAGTATATTATAAGATACTTCATCTCTAAGAGACATGTCAAACACATTTTGTGCCAGATTTAGACAACCACACTTTGCATACATATCGGTTATAGCATTTGAGACGAAGAGATCAATGACAGACCCATTCCTTATTGACCTGGCATGTATCTCCTTTCCTGAACGAAGACAACCAATTCGTGCACATGCAGGAAGAACATTTGTCAGTGTAATAGATGTTGCAGTTTCACCACTAGATTGCATTTCCCTGACAAGTCCTATAGCCTCTAACTCTAGCCTATTTTGAGCAAAATTTGCAACCATTGTATTCCACGATACAACATTTCTCGAACACATTTTGTGGAACACGGCAGATGCTTCAGCTGAACGGTCTGATTTTGCATACATATCAATCAAGGCGTTGGCAACAAATACATCACACTCTAAACCTGTTCTTAGACAAAAACCATGAACTTCTCTTCCCTTGTTAAACTTTCCAAGTTCAACCAAGACAGGTAACAAACTTGAAACTGTAGTCGAATTTACATTCCAACCTCCATCAATCATAAACCTAAAACTTTCCAAAGCATGGTTATTAAACCCATTATGAGCAAAGGTACCTATCATTGCATTCCAAGAAACCTCATTCCTTTCAACCATCTCATCAAAAACTTGTCTTGACGACTCAACATTCAAGCACTTCCCATATGCATCAACGAATGCATTACCGATAGCCACTTGACAATCCAAACCCACTTTAATCACATAACAATGAATCTCACTAACCATTATCCCATCCTCCAGCACAGCACAAAGAGGCAATACACTCACAACACTTACCACATTCGGCTTAAACTCAGACCACATAACCATCTCCCTAAACACCCCAATACCTTCAAAATAACACCTATTATCCGAAAACACCCGAATCATACTGTTCCACGAAACCAAATCCCTTTCAGACATTTCATCAAATACCTTCCCCGCACTCGCCAAATCACCAAAACTCCCATAAAACAACATCAATGTATTATTCACAAACACATCATAGTCAAAACCCAATTTCATCAAACACCCATGAACCTCCAACCCTTTTCGAACCTCACCAAAATCAGTACAAAGCTTAATCACAAAAGGGAAAGTATGATCATCTGGCACAACCCCACTTCTCAACATCCCATTATAGACCTCAACAACACCCACAACACCCAAAATCGTCTGAGCTCGAATGAGGGTGTTGTACAGAAACGCCGAACGGGAAAAAGGGAGACTTTGGTTGAACATCGTCCGTACGATTCTTGGGTCTGATGAAAAAGCGGCGTAACGGAGAATGAGAGCTGCGGAAATGGAAATGCTGAACGGAAGAAAGCCATTGATGATGGAGAAAGCGTGAGCTTGTTGGGTTTGAAGAAGGCATTTGGTTGTGGAGCAGAAATTGAGGAGATTTTTTGGGTTTTTTTGGTAGGATAGTGATGATTCAGTGAGAGTTTGTAGAGATTTTGTGAAGATGAGAAGAGGAGAAGAAGCTATACGAGAAATTCGAACATGGTGGAACATTAGGTGTAAAAATTAAAGGAAACTAAAGAAGACTCATTCATATGAGTATATGACTTTAGGTTATATATTTACGAGTTAATAGTCGAAAACACACCTATTTGCAGCCCCAAATACCAACAGCCCCAAACACACCTGCTTTCACTTTGCATCCCCAAATACCGACAGCCCCTCTTCACGGCATACTTCCCACAAAAATACTTGCTGTGCTGAGTACTGAGTGCTGACTGGCCAGCCTTCTTGGTCCTCTTATCCCCGTAAGGAAGCAAAAAGGGTTGAAGAAGACTACCTAGCAGCGGCAACAAACCCTGTCTTTCAAGAATAAGGGATTACTTCTATTGTTGGAATTTCATCCCCAAATAGGTAAAAATCGAATCTTTATATACTTTTATGTGTTTCTTTGAGCTTGTGAACTTGCTTTAGCATTTAAAGTTAGCATCTTTTGGTTGATTTCTTATTGTATTTGAAGAGAAAAAACTCATTCTTTATCCACTTTATATGAGTTTAGAGTTAATACTGATAATGGAGCCCCCCACCTAAACAATTCCTCCTTCCCAATTTGTGGTGTTCGGTTGAGGCCTAGTGGTTAATGAAGAGACTTGAGCATACGAAGTCTCGGGTTCTAATCTGAGCATAGACAAACACTAGGTGATTGTTTTCATGTGCTCTAGCTTGGTGGATAGAGTTACCTTGTACCTGGTACTTGTTGCTAGTGGGAGGTGGTAGGTATCCCGTAGAACTAGTCAAGGTGTGCGGATGTGGGTTCGGACACCATGGCTATTGAAAAGAAATTGTTTTCGGTGTACAGCTTCCGGAAAAGATTTATCTTATCTTGCTTTTTAGGCATTTCAAGGTTCAGTCTTTTCAATTAGGAGTAGTACTTCTCACTTAGTCTTGGATCAAAACTGACCCACTTTTGCTAACATAAAGGATTATCAAGGTTCAGGAGTATATAAAACTTTGCGAGTTTTTCTCCTACTTGAGCCTAAGTGTGTGTTCTAGAAAAGGGTATAAATTAGTATTAACTCGTGATCATTATACTAAGCATAATGCTGGTAGTTATCCTCCACTGCTGGTAGATATTTTGGGGAGAGTGTACTTTTGAATTATTGCTAATGAGTGGTTAATTCATCAAATGAAATGAGCTTAAATGAAAGTGGGGATTCATATAGCGGACCCCAACTTGTTTGGGATTGAGGAGTAGAGTAGCATTAGTAGTAGTTGTAGTGGTTGATTTGTATGCATGTCTAATGATTTATGGAAATAAAAATACTTTGCTTCGACTTGGAATTTTGGGGAAAATGCTAATCCATCTATGCACCGACCCAGCTTATTTTTTATTTTCTTTCAGGAATGACATTAAATGGCAGTTTAGTTCAAAAGATAGGTAATGCAATTATGGAAGTCGCAAGGAACAAAGGCTCAACATGGTGGTACACACCTCACATGGCTGCAGCATCTCGTGCCATAACCGAACGGATCCCATTGGTTGATATTCTTCTTGAAGTCAGAGATGCTCGGGTATGTATAAACCCTATCCTTCATGGATCTTTTCCTTTAAATTGTTGCCCGGTATATGTTTGATTAAACGTCAGAACAAGCTTGCTAGTATTACTCCATAAAACGTTTTGTTTTGTGATGTGGTCTTTGAATAATATATTATGTTTGTGAATAAGTTATTTATTCTCTTAGACATGTGTCCTCTTGTCAACAAGTGTTGACCTCGTATGAATCCATCCTGCATGATCTGTACATATCAATTAATGGAAAATTGGGAAGTTCGGCTTTGTGTAGTGTGGTTTGTCGGTTGGAGTTTAGCAGATCAAGAAGTATGCACCAGTTCTGTGATAGACCATTACTTTTGGCCTCTTTTGGTAGATAATTTGCTTTTACCAGCTATTCGTTATCATCCAAGGCCTTTTTCTATGTTGATTTGAAGTATCAAAACAAACATATGAAAACAAATACACAAGTGTATATAGAATGAGCATAAAGAGATAAAAAAGGATAAGTAACATCATTGCTTGATATATTGTCAAGTTCCTAAAGGTTGTCCGAGTAGTTCAGGCATATTAGTAGAAACCTGAAGGCTCAAGGCTTGAACCCCAGCTACAACACTCGTGGTGAGCCCATCTATTCCATCCTTGATGGATTGGATTACTCAGCACCTGTGCTTGTGGATTTTAGCTGACTGCTTGGCGTATTTAGTAGAAGATTATGCAAGTTGGCTCAAACACCACCACCAGTTCACCACAAGAATAACAACCCAGTTTAATCTCACAAGTGGGGTCTGGGGAGGGTGGTGTATAGTATGTACGCAAACCTTACCCCTACCTTATGAAGGCCTCAAACACCACCATCATGTATAAAATTGAAAAGTTGGCAAAATTGTCAATGGCATTCATGGCGAGTATTTCGTTAAGGACTCAGTTATAATTCGATATATGTTCAATCATGTTCCAGTTCGTTTGTTTACGAGGATATGCTTGTATATCTATCCTCTAATTATTTATTCTTATTTTTCCCCTTTGGCTTTTCTCAGATTCCTTTATCATCAGCATGTGAGCTAATTAAGCATCATTTGCCTTCCTCGAGGCGCATTATTATTCTGAACAAGACAGATTTAGCAAATCACATTCAATTAAAGGTGATGTGTTGCTCTTCACTTTCTTAGTGAGCTGGCTTCTGCTTCTCTTGACAATTACTCATCTAGCTGATTCCTCAATACCCCCTTCTCTAGCCACACCTTTATCTGATAATGAGCAGCATACATGATAGCTTTTTGTTGTTAGGCATTACTTCCAGTCCCAAATTATTGCAGATTTTGTCATATATCATTTTTGGTTGCTTCTGTCTACATGTACAGATATTTACATTTGTTTCCTGCAGGAATGGCTGAAATACTTTGAGGAACAAAAGTGTCTTGTTTTTGGAGTCAATTCCCATAATAAGGATAACATCAAAGAGGTAATCATCTGAAAGTTTTCTGCAGTTGATCATGTTCTAATTTGCAAATTGTTCTAATGTAGCAACTCTTGTTGGTTTGATGTCATGTTGGTAAATTGTTGTTCTCAACATATATTACACATAGATCAAAAGGTACATAGAGGGGGACTTAAGCCTGCATAGAGTTGAACGTTAATGTTAACATATGAGGTCAATGCTCTAACAGGCCAAGTTTTAGTATAAGTACTATACCCCAGTGATGCTATGTTTCATTAAGGGCAGCACGGTGCACAAAGCATCCCGCGTTCATATGGGGTCCGGGGAAGGGCCCAGACCTCAAGGGTTGTGATGTAGACAATCTACCCTAATGAAGGGTTACTGGCTGCTTCGACGGCTTGAACCCGTGACATATAGGTCACACGGAGACAACTCCAACGCCCCCCTTCATAAATTATATAAATTATCACACCAAGTTCTCTAGCTTGCATTGAGTTCATAAGGCCTTTCGGTTGATGGTGCACCCAAAATGCTTGCGTCCATTTGAGTATGTTTATCAATCTGACTAATATTGTAGAGTTGACATTGATATTCTACTAACGAAAAAGGTGTAGGTCTTGATGTTCATCACTAGTTAATCCGAAGACCTTTTATTTCACATGTGATGCTCATTTGCATCAGATATAAATCTTGACATGTTGCAGACTTGCAGTTACTGAACTTTCTGCGAGCCAGAGTTCGAGAATTACCAAAGATTGGTCATGGGGATCAGACAATTACATTAATGCTTGTCGGCATTCCTAATGTTGGGAAGTCTGCCCTTGCCAACTCATTGCATCAAATTGGAAGGATCAGTGCAGCAGGTACATCAACTTTTAGTACAAACTGTTAGTTGTTAAGTTCTTGTAGCTGTTTTCTCGTGTTTTTAAAAAACTCTCTCTAGAGTATAGAACATATCTAAACCAAACATCCTGAAACATTCTTTGTTTTGTAGAGAAAGGAAGATTAAAGCATGCCATAGTGAGTCCTCATCCAGGAGAGACAAAAAATATTAGTGGCTTGAAGGTATTTATTTCTTTTTTGTAGAAACACAGTTTTTTTTCTTTCAACCAGGCAAGTTGTGAACTAGAAGGTTAGGGATTTTTTGCATAGTACCTGGGCTTTTTTTTTAGCTTACGGGGTTATAGCTTTCCTGTTCTCTATTTGATTTTTGTTTTTGTGTAGTCATATCTTGATGAAACTACTTTTACAAAATCAGATCGCAAGCCATCCTAGTATTTATGTGTTAGACACCCCTGGTGCTTTCCCGACTGAGATTCTCGATGCAGATGTGTGCTCCAATCTAGCTTTAACAGGTACAATTTCCAAAACATTATCTCCCGCCAACTTTTTTGGATTTTCATCAAAACATAGTCGCAAATCGCAATTCTCTTACAGCTCATGCTCCTCTTGTTAACTGAAGGAAAAAAAGAATGAATGATAGACATTATTTGGGAAAGAACTGTACACAAAGAGAAAGTACCATGACAAGTGAGAAAGTGGAAAATGCGGAAGTGAGCTACCAACTGATAGATATTCTATGTTCCTTTATTCTAAATGCAGGTGCTATCAGAGATTGCTTGGTCGGGGAAGTGGATCTTGCAGAATATTTTCTATCCATTTTTAACTTGAGTGATGAATATAAGAAATGGGCCAACTTGTCATTATCAGGCGCTGATGATTGTTCTGAGTTAGAGAGAAGACAGAAGAGACAATATTTAACAGATCACACACAGGTAAAGCAGTTTAACAGGAAATGTATTATAACGTCTTTCTTTCCTCTTCGCTATATGCAAATCACAAGCTCCATTGCGTACTAAGTACCAACTGTATGTCAAGCTCGAGTTGAATTTGCTTATGTCCTGCATTTCGAATAATAAGTTCAACAATCATTGTTATTGCGCCTTTACAATAGACTTTTGTTTTCCCGAAACCAGTTGAATACTTGTCAGGCAAAACCAGTTAGTTTAGAATAACATGTTCATTGTGGTTCCCCACCTTATATATATCCGGAAAAAAGTATGATTTCCGAAAGTCCCACGTTACCAATAGCATTCGAACTGGGTATGCATTTTTTCTTTTGTCAATAGCCTTCAATTTGTGTTTACAATCTCTAGCAGAGAGAAAGAGAACAGTCCTTTGACAGATGAGACTACTTCACGACTATGTTGCTCAGACTCTTCAAAAATATCTACGTGTCGGATCCTCCAAAAGCTATGTATTTTTGGAGGATCCGAGAACATCTTTTGAGGGTCCGAGCATCATAGCTTCAGGAATGATCTAGTTTTCGACAATGTGCCTATGAATATAGCAACATATGGCTACAAAATTTGATAATTCGAATGCTGAATAAGTGGAACCTCGGTAGATCCTGTAATCGCCACATTCATGTCGATCAACAACTATTAAGCAATGGAACCTGAAATTGTAAGTTTTTAGCTCTGACTTGTATCAACTCCTTGTTAGATATGACATCTCTGATTATTCATACAGGATTTCATTGTGAACAAAGTCCGAAGAACGCTCTTCGAAGCAGTTTCATCATTCAATGGCAATCTACGCAATGAGGAAATTATGTTGCGGCTCATCAAAGCAGAGTTTTCTGTTCTTCGCGATGCTTTTAATTTACCTCCTGATTCGGATGATTATGTTCGTAAAGTGGCTGCTAAGTTGCTTAATCTGTATCGTACTGGAAGGCTTGGTCATTATACTCTAGACCTTGCTCCAAATAATAACTAAGGAGAAGTCTTATACGCGAGTCATGACAGTCTTGGTTGAGGTGTCTAAATGAAAAGACGATTGTGTTGCTATAGGGGACTCCCTTCACCGTGATATCAAAGGCGCAAATGCAGCTGGAAATGCATCAGTGTTTATCACAGGCGGAATACATGCTGCTGAACTTGGACTTGGCAAATTCGGGTAAGTCGAGGATGATGATACTGCTGTACATAATCATGCCTTGAAAAACAATGCATATCCTACATATGTACTCCCTTCATTTACATGGTGAAGAATGCAGTATTCACTTTGTACCTCTTTTGGTTTTGGTGTTAACCATTGTGTTTTATCTGAACCATTTTATCTTGGTGGAATACAAGGATTGTCATGATCAAGTTGTAAATTAGTTGTTGCTATTATAGGTAATGTGAATTATATGAAAAATGGCACTATTTTTTAACTGGTATTGTTGCAAGTCTTGTGTTAAATATACAAGAGGGAGAAGGGGCAATTATAGCAGTCATTGATACCATAGTCTTTCGTCACCCAAAACTTAAAAATGTCCTCTGTATAAGACTCGTGATGAGAATAAGCACAAAGCATTCCTCCCAACATTGAGCGGAATAGTCAAGGTACGTCAAAGCTAACTCAAATACAGCGATACAAGGGAAAAAAGTACACAGATAAACACAAACAAGCAGTATGATTCCTCAGAAAAGCACATTAAATGAATAAGAGGTTGAAATATGATTCCTCAAAGCAGAAGAAAAAAGTAACTTGATCCTATAGAAGTAAACACTAAGTAAGTAATAACTTTGGAGAGATCAAGCTTTCTGTAAAAACGAATCCGTTCTGAATACATTCTGAATCAGGTTGAGGCCATAAGCCAGATGATTCTTTGAATGTCTTCAATACAACACCTTTACGTTCCACGTGTCTGCAACGGAGTAACACTTCACCGTCTGAAAACTTGTATTTTGGTATGATTGAATGAAGATCAGTACCTTGTATAGAAAAAAGTAGAATCCAAGATTCCTTGATTCCGTAGTCTTTCATTACTGATAACTTGAATGTGTAGATCCCGCGATGAACATGAGTAGAATAAACACAAAGTAATCCTTCCAATACAGAAAGGCCATATTTTATGTAATGCCTATGGAAAACCAAGGACATTCCCTCTTGCCACGGTATCTCTCTATACACCTCATTTGAAATACTAAATGAAACCAAAGAATTATTTAGTGATGAATCAAGCCAATGAAATGCTCCATGTACAAATGCTAAAGAATCCTCCATATCAGACAACACGGGGTGAACACCAATAGGACGTTTATCAATTTTTCTCCACGAACCACTTTTTAGTGTGAGAATTTCAGAACGAGCTCTTTGATCAATCTTAAGAATCTTATAGTCACCACTAACTGAGTCATATCCCAATCCGCAAGCATAATCACTTATCACTGAAAATTCTGTACGAGGAAGTACTACTGATTCTCTCGTGGAGGGGTTCCATAGCAAAAGTATGTGGCGTTCATAACAAGGATAATCACGAACCTTGATGAGAGCCAAGCCATCATAACAACAATACATTCTGAAACTCAATGGTCTACGATTACAAGGCCAATCAAGTTTTTGTACATCTTCAACCAATTGAACCGATGATAACAAAGCTGTTGATAAAGAAGAACAATGAGAGCGAAACTCACCATTAAGAACAAGAATTTTGGGGGAATGTTGGTTATTCTTCCCATAATTGAAATGTTTCATCGTAAAGTAAGGATCCGATACCAATGTCATCCAAAGCATTGAGACACATTTGAATCGAAGAAGAGACCGCACAGGTAACTTGATGAGGATGTCTATAATTATTTCTTCTTGCAAGTGAACTCCCATTATCCTTGGATGCTTCACAAATCTCACTCCTACAATTCAAAATTTTCGTTAGCCTTATGCAGCTAAGGAGCGCAAAATATAAAGAACTAAACATAAAAAATAATTTTCAAAAAAAGTAATTTAGCATCTACACATATATATATACATAAAAACATTTATATAAAAGTGTAATTTTTCATGATCTCCTAAGCTCCGCCGATGGATCCATCTATCTAAGTCTCGATAGACAGAGTTTTAAGTTAGGCGAATAGTCGACATCCATCTTCTTTGTTTTCTTTGAATGCTTCATAACTCTCTCCCCTGCAATTCAAATTTGTGGTAAAGCCACGATTTTCACTAAGAAAGTTTCTAAGTATAATGAAATTGAAAATAAAATAAGCCGAATTCAAATATCTGCAGAGAAAAAAAAAAGAGATACCTTTGAAAATATTTGACTTTTGTGCCATCTTTAGAGCTGCCTTTTTTTTTTTTTAATGCTTACGTTCTCCTTTTAAAGATTTTTTTTTTCCTTTCCTACTTCTTGTGTGATACTTTTTTTTTTTTATTTTCCTAATTTTGATATGATACGGTATTACTTTTTTTTTATTTTCCTTATTTTGATATGATAGGTATTACTCTTTTATTATTATGTTTTTCCTTTTATTAATATGATACGTTATTTTCTTTTCTCTTTTTATTTTCCTATTTTTTATATGATACATTATTACTTCTTTTTCTTTTTTATTTTCCTACTATTAATATGATATACATTATTTATAATAAATAAATAATTAAAGATATCTAACTCGTTTTAACTCTATGTATCACCTTGTTATTAGGATGTCAACGGTTCTTAGTCATTTTTTTTAATAACCATGATGTTCGAGTCAGCTTAAGCTCATAACAGCTTATGTTCGACATTTGAGGACCGTTTTTCAAAGATTGAGAAAAGTGGAGTTGTGTGCAAAAAATTTCAAGTGCAAGTTTTGGCTTGAGTTTGTGGCTTTCTTGGGTCCTGTGGTGACAAAGGAAGGTATTATGGTTAATCTAGCCAAGATTGCGGTTGTTCGTGATTGGACGAGACCTACTTCCCCTACCGAGATTCGGAGTTTCATCGAGTTAGCGGGTTATTACCGTTCTCTTTCATCGCAGCTCCATTGACTAAGTTGACTCAGAAGACTTGTGGTATTTTTGTGGAGTGATGAGTGTGAGGTGAGCTTTCAAAAGCTCAAGGAGTTATTGACCTCGGCTTTTGGATCGTGACAGACATTTTAAAACTTTGGAGATGAGAGAGTCTGAATAGGCTGCTATTGGAATATCAATGGTCCCAAGGAGAAGGCTGCAGCCGAGGTCAAGTTCAATAACATGGCCCGAAGGTTAAACAATTTATTCCAAGATTCCTCGACACCGTAGTCTTTCATTACCCAAAGGTTAAAATTGTACTTGTCCTTATGAGCATGAGTAGAATAAACACAAAGCATTCCTCTCAATACCGAAATGCCATAGAAGGTGAGGTGATTAATGTCGGACATCACAAACCTTACATCTGGCATTGGTAATTCTGTGTACACCTCATTTGAAATATCAAATTAAACCACAGATTTCTTCAGTGAACAAAGCCAATGAAATGCATTATGTAGAAATGCCGGAGAGTCCATACTAGACAACCTGACAGGATAAATGCCAGCAGGATGTTTATTAATTTTTCTCCAGGAATCACTTTTCAGCGCGAGAATCTCATTGCGTGATCTGTCACCATTAATCTTAAAGATTTTATAGTCATTACTAGTTGAATCATATCCCAATCCGCAAGTAAAATCTAATCTATGTGAAACTCTTGTACGAGGAAGTACTATTGATTCTCTTGTGGAGGGGTTCCATAGCACAAGTTTGATGTTATGAAGATGATTAAATTCACTAACCGCCATAAGAGCCAAGCCATCATAACAGCAATATAATTTGCAACTCCTTACGTTACCGGTACAAGGCCAATCAACTTGTTGTACGTCCTCAACCAGTTGAACTGACGATAAAGAAGCTAATGCCAAACAAGGATCATATTGGAAGGAGGAAAGTTCTTCGTTAAGAAGACAAATTTTTTGGGAATTTTGGTTATTCTTGGCATGGTTGAGATGTTTCATCACAAAGTAAGGTTCAGAGATCAATGTCATCCAAGACTTTAAAACACATTTGAGTCAAAAAATAGACATTTCTTCGTCAAAGTGAATTCCCATAGCGCCATCAACATCTATCTTAGTCATTTCCTCTGAATGCTTCGCTACTCTCTTCCCTACAATTAAAAATTGTGGTTTACATAAAAGCAGATCTAGAATTTTGAGTTTATGGGTTCTGTATTCTAGAAAAGGTAACTTGTTGGGTTCCAAAAAAATTTTATACATATTAAATCGATTTCTTAAAACAGATACAAGATTTTTGCCAAAATTAATGAATTTTGCAAAAGTTTTAACTAGTACTATGGCTCCGCCTCCGCCCCCTTAGGAAGAGTTTAAGTTAGGAGATAGTAGGTATTCAGCTGAACAGTTGAGGTACGCCAAAGCTAACTTAGATACTACCGTTACAAGAGACAACACACACACACACATACACAAATACAAACAAGCAGAAAATACAGAGAGATTAAACAGAAAGAAACAAATACCCTTGAAACGATTTGCCTTTTGTGTCATTTTTAGAGCCTCCTCCTCTCTATTTCTTTGATTTGAATGCTTAGGGTTTCTCATTTTAGAGCTTTCTCTTCTTTATATACTAGCTCCTCGACACGTGTGTGTGGCACGTGTAATCCGAGTCATGTACTATACACGTGTGTTGCATGTGTATTCCGAGTCATGTACTATGTAATCTTGTATAATGATTTTAATATTTATTAAAATAAATTTAAGTATATACTATAATTGTGAATTTAATATTTATTTTTTTGGTAGCAGAGTTGCATCTATTTGGCTGAGTCAGAAGAAGCAGTTATTGTTAGCTGAGTTAGTTGAATCAATTGGGAGGGAAAGTTAGTTAGAAAGCATGGTTAGTAACCAGAATGCTCACACATTATACATTATGCAAACTTGGTGGTATCTATATATTGTTTCATGCAGATATGAGAACACATTAATGTTATTCTTTCGAGCATAGGTCATCGTGCTCTGGCAAAAAATACAAATCATTTTGGTCACCGATTCTGTTTCTGGGCATTACTTAAGCCTCTTTTTACGTTTTGAACTAAAACCAAATCGAGGAGATGAAATCAAAACTTCGAATCTGTGGTAAACTGAGAATCATTAAAGACATTTCTTGTAGCAACAAATGGAACTTTTATTGTTTCTCGGGACAATGCACGAGTCTTGCAAATGAAAACTGCAACTCATTCAATTTGAAGAGGTTGCTTTGTAGAGCGTTCGATCAGTTGCTGATATAATATTTAACTCTTATAGCTAGACTCAACAATTTCATCTTCTGTAGTGCCTTTGACAACCTCGCTGCTACTTTCGCCTTCTCATAAGGATTCTGTATTCTAGTTCATCAGCAATCCTAGAAAGCCAATCGGGATTTTTAGCTGAAAGCATTAAATATGTTATGGAGAATCCAATAATAAGTCCACACACATATCCCATAAGAACCACTTTCCAGTTGAGTTCACTCAGAAATGTAGAATCACTTTCTTGTTCCAGCTCATGTGTCGTGTTGTTTGTCTTGGGAAACCTGCTGTTTCCACAACCTTCCAAATTAGGAAATCCACGTAACCTATCATTACCTTCATACGAGTTCTTCTCGAATGTATCAAATTGGCGTCCTGTTGGGATGCATCCTTGGAGCTGATTGTGAGAGAGATTCAAGAATTCAAGAAATGTAAGAGATGTAAGTTGTTTAGGTATCTCTCCTTCAAGATGATTAGCTGATAGGTCCAATGATTCAACTGAAGATAATTTTCCGAGTGATGGCGGTATATGACCTTGCAATCCATTATGAGATAAATTCAACATGTGAAGTGCAATGAGATTTCCCATAATACTTGGAATGCGTCCTTCAAATCTGTTATTTGAAAAATCAATTGTGATGTACAAAGACAAGATTGAATCAACTTCAAGCTCCAGTCCCTTTGTTACGACAGTTACGGAGTCTTGGTAATAACCGCCTTCTTTATTACTTGAATCCTCCACAGTTTGATCAACTCTCTTCATGGCTTCGAAATTTTGAAAAAGATTTGCAGGTAACTCTGCTGTAAATGCATTGCTAGCGAGGTCTATGATTCGAAGCTTAGGAAACAAGTTCTTCATGAACTTTGAAGTTCTGATGGGTCCATGCAATTTGTTGGATCTCAAGCTTAACACTTGTAGCTCTGGCAGAGTCCCCAACCACATCGGGAATGTGTCATTGAGGAGATTAGCTCCTAGATCAAGAACTTCCAATCGTTGGCAATTTGCCAAGGATCGTGGAATTTTCCCCTCTAGCTTATTGCCATGCAAATTGAAGCTTCTGAGTGCTCTTCCAATGCTAAAAGTGCTTTGAAAAGTACCAGAAAGATTGTTGTGCTGCATATCAAGAATCTCAAGATGACCACTCATGTTGCCAAAACATTGTGGAATTGCTCCATTCAGATTGTTTCTACCCAAATTTAGAACTTGTAGTGATGTTAGATTGCAAATAGACAAAGGGAGTTCTCCACTGAGATTATTATGTGACATCATCACAAACTGGAGGGTACTGATATTACCTAAGCATTGCAGAATTTTTCCTTTCAAGTTGTTTCTCGACAAATACAGGATTGCCAGTGATGTCAAATTGCAAATAGATGGAGGAATTTCCTCAATTAGATTGTTGTCATTGAGAAGCAGAACTTGCAAATTTTTCAAGTTGCCAAGGGAAGTAGGAATAGAACCAATAAGAAAGTTATTCCTCAAATCTAGACGAGTAAGAGACCTTAGGTAACCTATTTCTTCAGGAATGGATCCAGAAAGGTGATTAACATGAAGAAACAAAAAAGACAAGTTGGTCAAGTTTCCCAATGAAGCAGGAATAGAACCAGTAAGAGAGTTAATACTCAACGATAGCTTAGTAAGAGACCTTAGGTAACCTATTGTTTCTGGAATAGGACCAGTTAAATGATTGTCAAATAAACGGATGATCTGAAGTTTGGCTAGTGAGCCAATTTGTGGTGGGATTGAGCCTGAAATGTGATTGATATGCAAGTCAAGATAGACAAGATTAGTTAGATAACCAATCTCAGGTGGGATGGTGCCAAATAAATTGTTCCTGCTAAGATTAAGATACTCGAGAAAAGGGAGGGATGAAAACGGAAAAGCATAGAGTGTACCAAAGATACTAGCATTTGTAATATTCAACATGTTTACCCTACCATTAATGCATATAACTCCATACCAATCACTGCATGCATCAGAACTTCGTGTCCATGATGCCAATAAGGAATTATTTTTGTTCTTGAAAGTCGCTTTCCATTTAAAGAGGGCAGTTGTTTCCTCAGTGGAAGCAAAAGTAACTGTAAAGAGATATAAAAGAGTGAAAAACTGAAGTAGAGAGGATATTTTGCTGGGAACCATCATCATATTTTGCGTTTCAATGAACTAATTGTAGAGAGTTCGTAGAATTTTATATAGTGCATAATATTAAAGATCAAAGCGAAACATGTTTGACTGCCACCAAATGTTGCCAATTCGGCTTCTGTCTCTCTTATTCACACTTCTTTGTCTGTTCATATTTATCAGAGAAAGTGTTCTCATTCTCAATGCAAATTTTGGTTGTTCTGTTCTTGTCTTTTTGCTTTTTATTTTTATCCACGGGTTACATATGTAATTCAGCTATGGACTTAACCAAGTGGCCAAAAAGTTTTGTTGTGTTATCAGCCATGATGCGGACATGTTTGGTTCTCAATCTCACCTTTAAATTAGTGGACCAATCCAACAATTATGTCATAGAACAATAGTTCTAGACTACATTATATCTCTAATATACTTTGTACTAGATCGAGATGAGTTTAGGTAAAGCTATATGACTACTGAGATTTCATATAGCTGACATCAAGAGTTGATTTCTCATATTGTCACTCAATTATTGATAATTATCTTAGAAAGCCACCTTATTTGTTATGTAACAGAAAAGTCACGCGTCTTGCAAATGAAAGCTACAACTCATTCAATTTGAAGTGAAGGTACTTCGTAATCTATTGCAGTGGGTCATGAGGTTGTTGTGTACATTTATGAATCATGAAAGGAAGTATAGTTGTACATAAATACTTTAGCTGCATCCATATAAGCAGAATTTATGTACTTTCAAAATAATAGGTACTACTTTCAACTATATTGCATCAGAAAGTTGAATTTATGACAGTAAAACAAATAAGAGGTGATTACTGAAAAACAAAAAGAAAAAAATATCTAACTCGTTTCAACTCTATATATCACCTTGTCATTAGTATGTCAACGGGTAATAATCATGAAGTTCGAGCCAACTTAAGCTCATAAAACTTTATGACCCCTGATATTCCTCCAACATATGCAATGATGAATTTGGCAATGCATAAATCCATGTAATCCATTATTGCCTTCATATGAATATTTCTTTAATGTAGCGAATTGAGGTCCTTGAGGGATGAATCCATCGAGATGATTGTGGGAGAGATTTAAGAATTCAAGTGTCGTTAGAGAAGCCAGTTGTTGTGGTATCTCTCCTGAAAGATGGTTGGATGAAAGGTCCAATGATTCGACCACACATAAACTTCCAAGTGATGATGGTATATTACCTTGCAATTCATTATGAGACAAATTCAGCACCCGAAGAGCAATGAGTTCTCTCATGATACTTGGAATAAGTCCTTCAAATCTGTTACTTGAAAGAACAATAGTGGTGTGAATGGTCAAAATTTTGACAAGTTCAAGCTCTCGTCCCTGAATAGACTGACGTCAAGTTCAGTGACATGGCCAGTCATGTCATTGCATACGACTCCATCCCATGAGCAGCAATCTCTGCTCATGTTCCATGAACTCGTGTGTGGTAAGAGTAACTACACCAAACTAATGAGGTATCTACAGTAAGCATTTTCTTGAAGACAATTTTTTTGGGAATTTTGGTTATTCTTGGAATGATTGTGATGCGTTTGCACAAAGTAAGGTTTAGAGATCAATGTCATCCAAGACCTTATAACACATTTGAATCGAAAAAGAGACTTGACAGGTAACCTACTTAGGATTTCCGTGATTATATCTTCTTCAAAGTGAATTCCCGTAGTGCCATCAACATCCATCTTAGTCATTTCCTCTGAATGCATCACAACTCTCTTCCCTGCAATTAAAAATTGTACTAATTACATAAAGGCGGATCTAGAATCTTGAGTTTAATTTATGGGTTCTGAATTCTAGAAAAGGTAACTTATTGGGTTCCGAAATACATATTAAATTAATTTCTTAAAACAGAATACAGGATTTTTGCCAAGATTAATGAATTTTGCAAAAGTCTTTAACTAGTACTATAGCTCCGCCTCCACCCCCTAGGAAGAGTTTAAGTTAGGAGATAGTAGGTATTCAGTGGAATAGTTGAGGTACGCTAAAGCTAACTTAGATAGCACCGTTACAAGGGACAACACAGGCACATACACAAATACAAACAAGCAGAAAATACATAGAGATTAAACAGAAAGAAACAAATACCTTTGAAACGATTTTCCTTTTGTGTCATCTTTAGAGCCTCCTCTTCTCTATTCTTTGCTTTGAATGCTTAGGGTTTCTCATTTTAGAGCTTTCTCTTCTTTACATACTAGCTCCTCGACACGTGTGTGTGGCACATGTAATCTGAGTCATGTACTATGCAAGTGTATTCCGAGTCATGTACTATGTAATCTTGTAAAATGATTTTAATATTTATTACCAGCAAGATTGTTGTGCTACATATGAAGAATCTCAAGATGACCACTCATGATGCTAAAACATTGCGGAATTGCTCCCTTCAGATTGTTTCTACTCAAAAATTTAGAACTTATAGTGATGTTAGATTGCAAATAGACATTGCAGAATGAATTGTTCCTGCTAAGATTAACAATATGAGTTCATTCCGTTTGGCTCTGGAAGACGATCTTGTCCAAGGATCACTTATGCAGATCAAGTGACACACCTTGCAATAGCTCATTTACTACAAATCTACAATGCATGTGCAAAGTATTATATATATATATACTACTCATCTATTTCGAAATTTCAATTAAATTAAATTTGTATGCTCAAATAATGTGTGTGAAAATTAATCTATTCGGAGTTTAATTGTTCTTCACCATTTACATGTGTATATGTTGGATGCGTGAATAGTCTACTCGGGAGCTCAATATTAGGGGCTTGATTGTGATAATACGTTAAATGGATGTTGGGTCTAACTCAACCTTAAAATAGCTCAAGAGCAGAGAATTGTCCAAATTATCTATCCATCTCTGGTGTTGGGTTCTTCAATTCTCCATTCATCTTTTCCTCCACATCCGAGTCATGTACTATATAATCTTGTATAATGATTATAATACTTATTAAAATAAATTTGAGTAAATACTATAATTTTGAATTTAATATTTATTTTTTTGGTAGCAGAATTGCATCTATTTGGCTGAGTCAGCAGAAGCAGTTATTGTTAGCTGAGTTAGTTGAATCAATTGGGAGGGAAAGTTAGTTAGAAAGCAGTTAGTAACCATAATGTTCAACTGAGAACAAAATTACCTGTCTTTGTTCACCAGTCGTACCAAAATATAGGTTTTCGGATGGAGATGTGCTACTCTGCTGCATACATTTGGAACCTCGTTCTTATGTCTTTAGGACATCCAAAGGACCATTTGGATATGGCCTCAATCCGATGCCACTCAGATAGGATTCGTTTATACAGAAAGTTTGGTATTCTCAAAATTAGTTGGTTAGTATTTGCTTGATTAGTTTGGTATTCCCAAAATTAGTTGGTTAGTATTTGCTTGATAGGATTCGTTTAAATAGAATGTTTGATATTCCCAAATTAGTTGGTTAGTATTTGTTTATATGTATGATCAAGACATTTTCTTGCTTTTATGGTAATCATGTTACAACCTCTGTGATTTCATATCGTAAATTGAACTCTCTAGTGCACTCTGCAAGCAGGTTTATAGTAAATTTAAGAACGAAAATGGATATGAAGAGAAAGAATCGCTCTGCTTTTTCGAATTAAAATTTACTCTCTTTTCGTTATTGTTCTATAATAAATTAGGACAAAAAACACAATCAAAATTGCATGATCCAATATGAAGAATAAAAATGCACATTTTCTGTTTCTCTGATTTTTACTTTTGACAAAATTGGGAAGACGAAAGTTTGTCTTCACTTTACTTCCAAGCTTTTCTCCCTCGAAATTGTTTGCCAGCGCGCGCCTGCTTTCTCTTTTTCTCAATCTTAGATTTTGCAACCTTGGATCTCTTTGCTGCTAATGGCATGCGTTTTTGGTGCTCTTTTTGCTGATTGCTTGAACCACCGGTCTGCAAAATTGAAACACAGATGTTATCACATCATCCAAATCACAAGTGCATTTCATCAGAAGGGGTAACCTTTTTAACTACTAAAGATCCACATGTTTTCTGCGCGAAATGAGGACCTAAGTTCAAGCAAGTGCCAAGGTTATGTGAGATGTGAAAGCAAGAGATGGAAATTTGAAAGAGAGAGAGAACAGGGTAGGAAGGGAAAGAAATGAAGTCTTGTGTGACTGGTACGGGAAAGCAGGAAGAAGTGTGGCTTTCAGAATCTTCCAAAACAATAGCTTGTGGAAAGAAAGTTAAGAGGTCTTTAAATTCTAGAGATCCTATAACAATTATAATGCATAAAGGAAGTAGATGCAAAGTGTGCTTCGGGATATCCTTGTTAAATGCTGAATTCCCCATTCTTAGAAAGAAAGGAAATAGGCAAGTAGCTCGGAACTTGGCCAATAGTAAGAAAAAGCTGAGTAATAAAGAGAAATTTAGAAATATGCAATGCTAAGCTAATGCAATGAAATCATGTGCAAACAATAAAGTACCTTCTTCTTTTTCAGAGCAGTTTTAGCTTGGTATCTCCCTCTATCCTCTCTACCAGCCCGAATAATCGCCAGTCTCTCTTCCTTGCTAAGCTTCTTTCGTATGTTAGCCTAAAGAGTAGAAATAATAACATAAGATGCATCTTGTTAGGGCAGAAGATTGCAATTAACAAGAAATAAAACACTCACTCCTACAGTAAATCAAACAAAAGGGGACAAAACTATGTCCAGTGATCAGCTTAACATGGGGGAAGCATTTTGCTTTTTTTTTCTCCCTCTTTGATAGTGAGGGAAGTATTTTCCTCTGAACCAACTCGTGATTCCAAATACAATAGTGACTGCAGAAGAATAATGCTGTGAAAGTGCAAGGCACCTAACCTCGAGTTTAGCAGCATCAACTCTTTTTGTACTAATTTGGTCTGAGCTGGGAAGCTTAAATCCATGTTGTGCTAAAACTGTTCTCGCGTCGTTTTTCGCCTGATGAGCAAAATCAGAGAAATGTTACAGAAAAAATTATATACACGTTTGTAGGAGGAAGCTCAGGACA